TTCGCCACCAAGCCCAGCCTGGCGCTCGTGCTGGCCGGGCTGTGCGCCGCGGGCGGCCTGCTGCTGGCCAGCACCCTGGCGCTGTCCGCGTGTCTCTGCAGGCGGGGCCGGGCGCCGCGCCCGCAGCGCCACGACACGCACCTCGTGGCCTACAAGAACCCGGCTTTTGACTGCCCGCTGGGGCGCCAGACCTCCAGTTAGCCCGCTTCCCCTACGCCGGTCGAACTCGACCTGAACGCAGAGAGGAAGACACTGAGGACCAAAAGCGACGCCGTCCGCAATAAGGGTCTCTACTTTCCGCCAAGCCAGCACGCCTCGGGCAATCATGGAGCTTGCCAGATGCTGCCTCCCCTTCCTTCTGTTTACTCTATTCCCGGAAACCTGATGGCAAGGTCAGGCCATTCCCGTGGCCACCAGGCCTTGCTGTGTGTTGTTGCGTTTGGGATTTTCAGCAGTTTGCCTCCAGTAGAATCGTGTAAGTCAGTAGGAAGGGATAAAAAACAGGGAAACTGCAGAAGGCCTCCTCTTCTGCGGTGTCAGAAACCACCGCCTCAGCTCTCTCTTGCAGAGAGGCTCCTTCGTGGCCAAGCTCAGGGCACAGTGGGCCACGTTACTCAGGGAGTCCATTGCAGTGGATTCCGACTGCTGAGAATCGGGTCAAGGGGAAGAGGTACTGGTTATTTCCTAAGGTCTTCTGGGTTTATTAACGCCTTTCGGATTATGGGGAAAAAAATAAAAATAAAATGAAGAAAGTATTTACAGCTTTACAGATTACAGATAAAAACTGCAGTTTTCTCAGAACACGTGTGAAACACGGGAAAGGACTGTCTTAAGTCAGTGTTTACTGCATTTCACCCAAGATTAAGTGGACATGTGAACGATGAATTATTTTTTAGGAAACATAAGCTTGCTTTCAGAAACCTTTTTCTTCACTTAGAGGGAAGGCAAAAGAGAACCTCAGAGCTCTAGCTAGGAGCTTCAGAGCACATCAAACACCTTGAGAATTTGTGTCTTGGTGAAGGATGTCTAGTATATATACCCTTTGCTTTTTCACTTTTAGGGAAAAGTGATTCTATGAAATTAAAATTGGGGCCATATTTCTAGATTTTAATTTCTCCATTAGCACTTGCTAATTTCCTGTAGCTACTACAAACTGGTAAAGCTGGCTGAAAATAGCAGAACTTTGTTTTCTTACAGTTCAGGCTAGAAATCCAGCGTCAAAGGAATCAGCTTGTTGGCTCCTCCTAGAGGCTCTGAAAGGGAACTGTTCATGCCCCTCTGAGCTTCCGAGGGTGGGCAGCACACCTTGGTGTGTCTTGGCTTGCAGACATCACTCCAGCCTGCACTGCCATCTCATGGCATCCTGCCTGGGTCTCTCTGTCCACATTTTTTCTTACAGGGAAACCAGTCATTGAATTGAGGCCCATTGTAATCCACCATGGCCTCATGCTGATGTGATTGTGTCTTCAAAGAAGACCTTGAACATACCTTTCTTGAACATACCTTGAACATACCTTGAACATACCTTTCTTGGGGGACATAATCCAACCCACAGCAGCACTTATTTCTGCTGTAAGAAAAAAAAAAGTTTGAATCCCATGTATCTTGTTTCCAAATTGTGCTGCAGAAAACTGAAACTGAAATGCACTGTATATTTCTAGGAGTTAGCAGTTCTGAAAGTTTCCCAAAATTTTAAAGCGGATCCCCAGTTTCACCACAAATGTAACCAAGAGAACTGGACTAAGTGATTTAAAACATCTCTACCAGCTTCTGCTTAAAAACTGCAAAGTAAGCTGGGTGTGATAGTAGGTACCCGTAGTCCCAGTTACTAGGGAGACCTAAAGTGGGGGGATTGCTTGAGCTCGGGAGACCTCATCTCAAAAAATAAACTAACTGCAACACAAAAGCCAAACATGTGACTAAAGTCCTCTGACATATAATTGATATCAATACTTTTTTTTTTTTTGAATCAGATTCTCACTCTGTCACCCAGGCTGGAGTGCAGTGGCACACTCATGGCCACTGCAGCCTTGTCCTGCTGGACTCAGGTAATTCTTCTGTCTCAGCTTCCCAAGTAGCTGGAACTACAGGGAACTACAGGCATGTGCTAACAGGCCGGCTAATTTTTTGACTTATTGTGGAGACAAGGTTTCGCCAAGTTGCCCAGGCTGTCTCAAACCCCTGGACTCAAGCAATCCTCTCACCTCAGCCTCCCAAAGTGCTGGGATTATAGGCTTGAGCCACTGCGCCCGGCTGATACCAATACTTTTAAGCCTACTACAAAGATTGTGTATCTGTGAAGATGATGAAATCAATTTCCGTGTTTTGAGTTTGTATTCACGAGTATACACTGGAACAGCCTATACAATTCCAGTATGTTTTGAAACTGGAAAGAATGTTTTATAACAGGTTGAAGTGGAGAAAGTGTACTAGCAGAGCAGGACTAAGACCTTAATAGTGAGGTACGAGTAATTGTGAGTCCAGCCGCTAAGTCACTCCCAATGGCATCAACACTAAACTGTAAATAAACATAAAGTGCAAAGTTCTAAATTTTACCATAACTACTTCAAGTCCTTTTTCTTAGACACCATTCCTGTGTGGCTCACATCACTAGTGCCGACTTACAAAGTGTGTCTCTTGGTAGTCTAGCAGTGGGACTTCCACCTCCAGCCTTCCGGCTCTCAGCTGAAGACTGTAGGGGAGGTTCCCCAGCCACACGTGCCCTTCTTAGCCCTCTCAGCCCCTCCATCTCATTCAGTGGCACTGCCCCTGGCTGCAGGCTTCAGCTGCTAGTCTGAGAACAAAGAAGCCAGGATCTGTAAGCCAGAGGGGCACACTGATGCAGAACACCACCACCAAGAGGCATTTCATTTGTAACTTCTCACTTTAATTTAAAGCTGTGTAACAGGCTGTGATTGGGTAGTCTCACGGTATGATTCCATATTGCTCTTGGGTTAAAACCAGGGCCAAAGGGTAGCAACAGGCCGCTACTGTTAAGAGGAAGCTCTGGACATTGGCCTTCTCTCCCCCTCCCCACAGCCTCCACTCTTCTAAACACAATGGTGTAGCCAGAATGTCTTGTCAGGTGGTCCCTAACAATTATTATTACAATGATAATGATACATGTTTTTACGATGTATCTGAATTGACTGTGAATCAGAAAACTAATGCAAAAGCAGAGGATAAGTATGCTACACAAACTACCCCAAGTGGAAGGTACAATTTTTTTTCCAGTTTTTATTCCTTTAACATCTTAACAAAAGAAGATTCTCCAAAGTTTTTAAAAACCTTTGAAAAATATACAGCTTATTATTTACACAATATATGAGTACAGGTTCCAATGTCAATCAAAAATTGCTGTTAGAAACACGGTGGAAGGTGTGCTGTAGCTCACTGCCCTCAGCGACAGTCTCCAACTACCTTTGTTACTGGCTATCCCAGTACACAAACTATTAGGCACCTGAGAGGCTGGAAGACTACTCAACACGAACTTCAGTACCTTCTATTTTATTTATTATTTTCAAAACTTCCTGCATTTCTAATCTCTTTTACAACTTTACTTCATCCACAGCAAAGCTAACTTCATGTTCATTATCCTGAATGGTCAGATATTAACCACAGGAACTGTTAACATATACACAGAGCTAAAAATCAAACATAAAAATATATAGTCAAGTTGTGTATGATGTACATTTAAACCTAAGAAATTTCCCAGTGCTTTGTGAGCAATCTAAATTTTAAGGAGAGGTGTCAACTCTTCATTTTCCCTGCTCTGAACTGTGTTTTTAAAAAACATATAAAAAAATGATTGACATTAGAATTAATTGACGTCATAAATTAATCAAGACACCTAAAATTAAAAAGTCTAAATTATAGTTTTATTTGTATTTAAAAACACATTGGAAATTCTTCATATGCCCATGATCACGCTTATTTTCAATGCACATTACTTAAATTTTGATGACATGGTTTGTTCTGACAAGTCCTTTTTCAAGCTGAACACCAAAACAGGGAAACTCCCATAGAAGTCCACGGCCCTGCGCTGATGCTGCATACTGCTTCCTTGCTAATGGAGACGGATGACTTTCATCAGCCTTTTATCACCTGAACAGTTTTCCGACCATAATGATAATAACTGTAGGCTGATGCAGCTGTAGTAAAAGCAGTAAAGCACCTTTTATGGAAGGAAAGAAATATAATTCAGTTGTCAAGTCTAAAACACAGTAACAGAATTATAATAAAAACATGTAAAAGAGCTACTTAAAAAGTAAAAAGAGCTGTGTGGCATAATTTTTATTTAACAACAAGAACCTAAATACACTGCTTTTCTTTAAGACTTCACTTGAATTAGTAACATCAAACAAAATTATTCTAGATAATGAGCCCTAAAAATGAATACTACTGTCAACTGTCATTTTTACCCATTCTTCTAGGTGTCTGATGCTCGCACAGTATTCTCACAACAGCCTCATCCCAGAGATAAGGAAACAGAGACCCAGAGAATCCACTCAGGGCCTACACAGAACTATGTTTAGACTGACTTGGTTTTAATTCTAAAGCCCATGTGCTCTTTTCACTGCTCCATGATGGCTTGGAACGTTAGATGCTATTTCCTGCGGCTTTTCAGAATTCTAAAATAATTTTTCCTCAACCAAATTCTCCTTGAAATGACATGCATGATGTCCTTGCAAGGCTGAATGCTCACAGCCAATAGATTACTTTTTTAGTGTACCTAGGCATTTCTATTTTTTTAGGTGAGGGAGAATCATCGAGACTCACTTTTGTTAGATCCAAAACCTGTTCATGCCAGTTTGGTATTCTAAATTCATACATAAACCAAAGAAATCTATGTGTTTGAAAATTTGCTATTTTTTGGCTGGATGTGGTAGCTCATGCCTGTAATCCCAGTCTTTTGGGAGGCTGAGGTGAAAGAATCACTTAAGGTCAGGAGTTCCAGATTAGCATGGGAAACACAGTAAGACACCCCCCTATAAAAAAATTTTTTTTTTGCGTTGGAGTCTCACTCCGTCACCCAGGCTGGAGTGCAGTGGCACACTCATTGCCACCCCAGCATTGACCTGCTGGGTTCCAGCGATCCTTATGCCTCAGCCTTCCAAGTAGCCAGAACTACAGGTGCATGCCACCATGCCCGGCTAATTTTTTGATTTATTGTAGAGACAAGGTTTCACCAAGTTGCCCAGGCTGGTCTCAAACCCATTGACTCAGGCAGTCTTCCCACCTCGGCCTCCCAAAGTGCTGGGATTACAAGCTTGAGCCATCGTGCCTGATCTATAAAATTTTTTTTGGAAAATTCGTTGGGTATGATGGTGCATGTGTATAGTCCTAGCAACTTGGGAGACTGAGGTGAGAGAGTCACTTGAGGCTGAGTTCAAAGTAACAATGAACTATGATCATGTCATCGCACTCTAACATGGGCAGCAAAATGAGACTCTGTCTCTAAAGAAAACATTTTTTTTAAAGAAAAGTTGCTATTTCTGAAAGCCAAGTCGGATGCTTTAAAACGATGAGTTAATAAAAAATACTGTCTTTCTTTCATGGGTCCATAGGGAAAAAGTATTGTCAAAATAAGTAGGCAGCATGACTGTGAAAAGACTGGAGAAAAAATGATTTAAAAAATCTAGATGGTTCCTACACTCAGATTGCTTTGCAGATGTTTTAAAGTTCCTGGTAAGCTGAGCACAGTGGCTCGCTCCTGTAAGACCAGCCTGGGTAACATAGTAAGACCTCATCTCTACAAAAAGTCAAAAAATTAGCTGGGCACAGTGGTATGCACCTGTGGTCCCAGCTACCCAGAAGGTGGAGGCAGAAGGATCGCCTGAGCCCAAATGGTCGAACTGCACTCCAGCCTGGGCGACAGCGTGAGACTCCCACTCAAGAAAAGAAGTTCTTGCATCACCTTAAAGAATTGAAAAATGAAAACAAGAGAGGTATATTATAGATGTAGTTTATCCAAGAAAGTAAAAACTCCCACTGATATACCTATACTCAAAAAGCATCCATCCTGTATCAGAAGGTGAAAGATGAATCAGAATGAATGCACAATTATGTCTTTTAAAGCAAAAAGTATAGCATATATATCATTTTAAAGGATTCTTTGGCTTAACTAACTTTGATTAGCCAGCCATTTTGTGACCCAGACTGCACCAAGCAAGAGAATTTTATAGAATTAAAGTGTGCCAAAATAAAGTACTTCAAAACCAATGTGACACATTTTGAACTCTGAAAGTTTGAATTTTACACCTTTGCAAGACTACAAATAAGCAATTAGTATAATAAAATCCAAGCTCCTTTTTCCAGCTTTTCTTCGCCCTGACCCGTTAGCAGGCTGGCCTCACCTTCCCCTACCCACTCTCCTATACCCTGGCTTCACTGAGGTTCTGTCCTTCACCTGATGGCCTCTCCTCAGTCTCTTCCTGCACAAAATCCACCTATACCTCATGTCTCAAATGCCACTTTCCCCCTGAAACTGTCCTTCTTCTTCCCACCTGGAAGTATCTCTCCCTCCTCGGAAATCCCAACACATTATCAGTATCTTTTATCCCTTTTAATTTGCATAAAAGTTAACTTCTACATCCCACACTTGACAGTAAGCTTCTTAAGAGTGGTATCAGTCACAAAATATAGCCACAGCCTTATCCAGTCAGTACTCAATAAACTCTCTAAGAGTAAAGTCATTCCAGGGCTGTCACAGTAAGTCATTCTGTTAATATTCTCAGAATATGATTCTAAATTTAGCTTACCACAGTATCTGAAGATATATGCTGTCAGCATAATTGAAAACTGGAGCTGCCAAAGAAGCCGCCACCAAGATTAACTGGACTGCTGTGTTTACCTTAAAAAAAAGAAAATTTATAAATGAACAATGCAGTGCCAACTGGATGCCCTCTGCCAAGCTACCGAGACAAAGGCACAGCCCATCACACTGTAACATGACATGCCCTCAGCATGCCTGATGCTCATCCCTTCCCAAGGAGCTGGCATCCACAGGTGAGAACACACAAAGGGGTCACTTCACTAACAGACCCATCTGTCATCACAGCTGCCCTTTACAGTGAGGATAATGATGATGTCAGAAAATATCACCACCTTGAATTCCCACAGCAACTCGATAACACTGCAAAATTCTTTGCCTTTTTTCTCAATTGCCCATTAAAGCAGAATATGGAAATAATTAAGCTACCTCACCACAGGGTAAAGGATATAGGGTTAGGTGACTTGCTGCAGGCACAGCAGACTAAAGAACCAAAACTGGTACCCAGATCTCCTGGTACCTTATCCAGTGTGCCTTTTACTTGCTTACCCATCACAACCTGTGAGGTTAGACAATTAAAACGACCTCCCATACGACCCCACAATCCCCCTACTGGGAATATACCAAAGAAACTTAAATCACTCTATGAAAAATACTCCTGCACCCGCATGTTTATTGCAGCATTACTTACAATAGCAAAACATGGACCCAACCGTGCTGCCCATCAAAAAAGGACTGGAAAAAAAAATGTGGTACATACACACAATGGAATATTACACAGCCATAAAGAAGAACAAAATTATAGGCCGGGCATAGTGGCTCAAGTCTGTAATCCCAGCACTTTGTGGGGCTGAGGCAAGAGATTTGCCTGACCTCAGGGGTTCGAGACCAGCCTGGACAACTTGGTGAGACCTCATCTCCACAACAAATCAAAATATTAGCGGGGTCTGGTGGCACATGCCTGTGGTTCAAGCTACTTGGAAGGCTGAGACAGAAGGATAGCCTGAGCCCAACAGGTCGAGGCTGCGGTGACCGCAAGCATGCCACTGTACTCCAACCTGGGCAACAGAGTGAGACTCTGACTCAAAAAAAAAAAGGACAAAATTATGAACTTCACAGCAACTTGGATGGACTTAGAGGCTACAGTACCGAGTGACCTATCCAAGCAACAAAGAACCGAGTACCACATGTTCTCACTCATAAGTGGACCTTGAACAACTATCGTAATACTGTAAGAAAGGGATTGGCAGTAGCGGGAAACTGCTGGGGGTGGCACACCTTATCAACAAGGGTACCTGTATAATGAACACTTGTATACCTAACCCTAAATTGTACCTCACATATTTAAAATTAAAAATTTTTTAAAAATTAAAATATACTCATCTCCATAAAAGAGCCTCTCTAGAGAAAATGAGTGGGCTTCCCCACCCTGAGACAGCACTAGGGAGAAAAGAAAATGGAACTAGAGATACGATGGGCATTCCCTCCACAACCATGAGAAGCTTCTGGGAGACAGTCTGGGAAGCATGAGACAGTGGGTGATGTGGAAAGAAGTGCCTCTGTTCTAGCACCCATTCTGCTAATGACAGAGATTCTACTTCATTTAAAAATACATCATATATTTTATCTGGAGGCCTGCCTACAAGTTCAGGGTTTATTTGAGACACTCGTCTCTGCGCCTCTTTACGCCCGTCTATGTAGTGCTACATTCAAACTGCCATACTTGATATAAATATAAGTCACTTGAAGCCAAAACCAACCAACAAACAAAAGAACGTCGTGTATGCAGGTAAAGGTATGCAGGTAAAGGTGTATGCGTATGCAGGTGTATGCGTATGTGTATGCAGGTAAAGGTTGGTTGGTTTTGAAGCCAAAACCAACCAACCAACAAACAAAAGAACGTCGTGTATGCAGGGAACTCTGTATAAAAACAATCACCCCTGTCTCCCACAAATTATGGCATTTTTAACCTGTTAAAACCTTGTCTTTAAAGATGGGACAGAAGAATGACTTGAGCAAAGAATGACCAAAGCAACTAGAAAAACAAGGATAGCTTGAGAAACATTAATAGCAATCTTTTTTGCGTGCAAAGACTGGCATACAGTTATTGTCCTGAAGGCTCAGGAAAACAGAATGGACACTTCGAAGGAATAGTTGTTTTATGAGTGAATAAACATTCTCCTATAGCTTACCTCTTGCCTGTCAATCCTGAAATGAAAGGACCATGTATATGGTGTTTTCACCACAGTGTAGGAGGCAGTGAAACTACCAGGGACTCTTCATAATCTCTGAATCTCAATCAAGACGCAATTACATTTCCGTTTCCTCTTCTCTGAACAGTGGAACAGCGGCCCAATTACCTCACTCAGAACTTAAGCTATGACCACCAGCCCAAGATACAACGTGTATACCAATGATCCAAAAAGCTTGGAGACAAAAGAGCTGGATTACAGTTTTCTGCCTGACCCCACTCTCTAGCCCCTGTACTCAATACATTTAAATCTGTCTCATTTTCAGCTGCTCTAATGGTTTACATCCATTATAATAAATATTCACAGAAAAATAACTTAAGAGAACATCGTATATCTCTTACCTTGCTGATGAATGTTGGTTTTAACCTAGCAGTGGCATAGCAAGGATTGAAATATTTAGCAAGTGTTCGCTGGCAGAGGACCAAAAGAGACAAAGTAGTCAATTTATCATTCAAGCTGAAAACACACATTTTGTTATTTAGCTAATAGTTACTGAGTATTACTCTATGCCTGACCTATGTTAGATAAGCCCTTTATATGTATCTTCTTTTTTATGCTAAATAAGTAGTATCGACATTCTTTACAAATCATGCACATTCAATACATACTGAAAATTTACTTTTAACAATTATAGATCTCTTTAGTCCTCAATTCCTATAAAATTCGAACACAATAGCTACCATAAAGTTTGCTTGATCACCTCGTTTTACTAAATAAACTCAGCAAAACTCCTTATCACTATTGTACAGATTAAAAAACAAAATGAATAAAACATTGCTTTATTTTCACTGGCTTAGGAGGCAAAAGAGGTATGCTGTGCTTATGTACTCAGATATTTAGAGAACCAGTCAACAAATATGCATACCACACTCATACAACTGTGATTTTAAAATCCAATTCTAGATTATCCATAGTAGATGCTAAATTAGACAATAATATCATTTGGATTTATGTGAAACAACTCTAACAGAATTTGCTGGTAGGGATGGGGGCTGGCTGGTCTGGTTTTCATGTGCCAATAGCTGAAAAGAGTTTGACTTAAAACAGTAACATGTCTTTTTTTGCCCTAATCCTTAGAACCTGTGAAGATGCCTTTTTAAAATTGACCATTTATGTGTTCACCAAACAACTACCTTCATAGGTGATTCAAATAACAAGACAGTTATTTTTCTAAATTCCTGGTAAATAGATCAAGAAATAATTGCCATAAATTATTCCCATAAAGTGAAACAACCTAGAGTGAATCTTAACTTTTTTTTTTGCCTTAAACTACATGTAATGCTAAAAGAATATTTTTTAAAAATAAAACTCACCGGTGTTGGAAGAGTTCGATATCTGACATAAAAAACAGCAGCAATCAACATTACATCTCTCGAAATTATCATATAAGTAAGTGGAACTGAAAATAAAATATAAAATATTTTTAATTGGAATTCTGATAATTACTAAAAGACATTATGAATACGTCTCATTCAGCCTTACTCAAAACTGGTTGTTTTCCACAAATGAAAATTTTATAATAAACACCTATTGATGATTTAGGGTCCCTATAGTGAACCACTGGTTTTTAGAGTCTTCTTTAATCTGCCCTCAAAGCAAAGTTCAGACGATGGCTCTGGAAGTCTATGTCTGCCTTTCTGAATGCTAATCCTCTCATCTCTCTTTGGTTTTTTCCTTGCACGTTTTTAGCTATAAATCTGCAGATATCAGCGTCAGCTCTACTCAATGCCCCCATCTCCTCCTTGGTTACTTCTCAGCTTTGGGAATTCGGGGAAAAGATCATCATGCTCATTAGATTTACATGGAAGCTACTGGAAAAACAAGGATGGCTTGAGAAGCATTAATAGCATCTTTTCTGTGTGCAAAGGCTGGCATGCAGTTATTGTCCTAAAGGACTCAAACTCTTCTGGAGTTTCAGGAGCTTTGATTCTCACTTCTGCATTTTAAATTACTGCTGAAGAGTAAAATTTGCTGTACGTACAACTAGGAGATAAACAAAAATATTTTATTTATATTCAGCCAGTTCCTGCCCAGGCAACTGCTAGTTTTCTCCCTGCTCAATCATTCAATGAATTCAATTTGTCAATAGTTTTCTCATCATTCTTCAGATTTTACAGCGTGGTATCAGATCCATAGTCAGCAGAAGGATATTTTAGATAAATACTCAAGAAATTCTACTTCTTTCACTAATGAGAGAGCAGAGAATTTGCTTCACTTTATTCCTTCTGCACTGCAGAAAGTTTTAACTGTGAACATATGAAGTGGGACTCCGCAAAAAGCTGAAATTACCTTTTGGAGGGTGGGCCCCCAATACGTAGTAGTGGCTTCCCTCACTAGGTAAGCGTTCTCAGAATCCTTCTGCATCACTTCTTTGTTTTTTTGAGTTGGAGTCTCACTCTGTTGCCCAGGCTGGAGTACAGTGGCACACGCCTTCTAAGTAGCTGGAACTACAGGTGCTGCCACCATGTCCTGCTAATGTTTTTTTTATTATTAGTTATTGGAGAGACAAGGTCTCGCCAAGTTGCCCAGGCTGTTCTTGAACCCCTGGACTCAGGCAATCATCTGCCTCCCAAAGTGCTGGATTTGCAGGCATGTGCCATTGCACCTGGCCTTTTCTTGGAGATTTTTTCAACACATTTGCCCATTTCATAATGGGTGATTTACGAGCACACCTGTCTGCACTGCACTGAGTGTTCAGGAGTTTTTGATCGAAAATGGCATGACCCATGCCCCACCCTCCCTATTTATCCAATCTCACCCCAGCAACGTCATTTCCCGCAAAAAAAAAAGTTCTTAAAGGGAATCATTTTGCTGATGTGGAAGAGGTGAAACAAAAAACAGCAGAAGCACTAAAAAGCATCAAAATTGTTGAGTTTAAAAACTTTTGAGCAGTGGGAAAAGCATCTCCATAGATGTACTGCATCAGACAGAGAGTACTCTGAAGGTGATCAAAGTTTAAACATGTAAAGAATACACAATTTTTTTTTTTTTAGTTTGAGTCTCACTCCAGCACCCAGGCTAGAATGCAGTAGAACACTCACGGCCACCTCAGTGTCGACCTGTTGGACTCAGGCGATTCTTCTGCCTCAGCCATCCAAGTAGCTGGAACTACAGGCATGTGCTATCACACCCAGCTAATTTTTTGATTCACTGTAGAGATGAGGTCTTGCCAAGTTGTCCAGGCTGTTCTCCAACCTGTGGGCTCAGGCAATCTTCTCATCTCAGCTTCCCAAAGTGCTGGGATTACAGGCTTGAGCCACTATGCCCAGCCAGAATACACAATCTTTAATAAATAAATTCTGTCTTTTGGTGGTCCCCACCATATATGTTTTACAACAACAAAATAACTATTTTTAAAAGGAAAAAACACTAGGCTCAAATGGTTTCAATGACCAACATAAAAGGATCGTGCATATCTCTTCCATAATACTTTCAAACAACTCTCTTGTGAATTATTTGAGGCTATACTTATGGTCCTCTCCAGTTTTGACATTTAACTGGCTCTGCAATTTGAATACAATTTCACTTAACTACAGATTTAAAATTTAAATCTCTTCTGCTGTTAGCTATAATATATGCTGGTCCTTGGCCTAGTTCTTGATGACAACACTATTCCAAAAGAGATAAAATGCTTGTCCACTCAAGTCACAGTATTTGGAGCAAAAAGATGGCTGTATAAACCATGCAAGAAAACAGTGAGCCATGATATTTAGGAGCATTTTTGTACCTGTAATACAAACTTTTCTACAGCAACTATTAGCTGGCAAAATAACATCAACCATGCTTCTAAAATGCAGCAAACTCATGCAAATTAAAATCCCTGTACCATTAACATGGAGGAACATGCAAGACTCCACACAATCAGGAACGCAGGTCTATGGAATTCACAACCTATGACCAGCAGGGTGGTCTAGCAATTAGCATCTCTGGACTCTGTTTACCATCTCTAACAGCCTGATGGGAGAAAGGGCTGTTAACAAAATAAAGTGTTCCCCAAACTTACTGTTCATCCAAAAATCACCTGGGGAAAGTTTTGTAAAAGCCCAGATGAAAGCTCTCTGGATGATTCGCACACACAGGCTGGGACCTTTCTGCACCTGGTGGTCTCAAAGGCCTCTTCCAACTGACTCCTCTTAGGGTTTTGGTGTTGGGCAATTTTATCCAGTTCTGGCTTTCTCTCTTGGCCTTCCCTTCTCTTTTCTTCTAGGACTAAAGTAGCTTTCATTTTTGCCTACTAGAGTATGATAGCATTAGTGATAGATAGAACCATGTAAATGTGTCAAAGAAAGTTCCTGTCCCCCATTGCTAGTTCTGTCTGAAATACAGGTAATGTTTGCAACACGGAGGGCCATCATGGGCAAGTTTTATTAGCATTAAAGGGAATAGTTCACACAATCTTTATATATTAAAAGTTGTCAACATCAATGCCATAGGCTTTTGCACTAAAAACAACAATAAATCTAACAGAAAATTCTAGAAATGGATTTAAACCAGAAATAATAAGATACCAAAAATGTGCCTCATTGGCAAATGTGGAACAAATGCACATAAGTAGAAATGAACTCTACTTATGCCCACTATTCTATAACAAATATAGCATGTTAAAGAATCCGTTTTCATCCTTCTCTACATTCTCATAAGACCAGGGGAAAAAGCAGAACAATTTATTATCCTAGCTAAGGAAGAAACCAAATGTCTTACTCTTAACAAAATAAAGCTATTAAAATCAAGGTAGGTTTAACTTTTTAAAAATGCAGTATAAAAGTAAGGACATGAAAGATTGCATATATGCATCTCTCTACTTTCCAAAACCTTCTAAAATGACAGGACATATCAAAAGAAATGAAAGGATATAAAGTCAAAAAGAGAATGACTAGAAGAGACACATCTCAAAATTTTGACTAAGTAATAAGGTAGAGAGAGCCAGAACCATCCTTCAGAAAGGAATGCCCACAGGAAGCAGGTCAACTTGCACAGAGAAACTCAGAAAGTCCACAGCAAGAGTAGTTCATCCCTGCCTGCTGAGCCCTTCCTAACACCCTTATACTATGTCTCTACCCCAGTTTTTACATTTTTAAATGGTTGGGGAAAAGTCAAGAGTGCTATTTCATGACATGAGAAAATTGTAGGAACTTCAATTTCCAGTGTCCATAGTAAAATGTTACTGGAACACATTCACACTCATTAATTTATGTATTTCCTGTGGCTGCTTTCAGGCTACAACAGCAGAGCTCAGTAGTTGTGACAGATCACCTAGCCCACAAAATATTTACCACCTGGCCCTTTACAGTAAAACGTTGCTAACTTCAATCCACATGTAACCCTCTGACCCTAGGGGCACTGGGAATTAAGTGAGGATCTACATTCTGGACCCTGAGACCAGCTTCCTCCCACAGCTTAGCTCCTGAGACACTGGTGACAAGGCCTCTCTAATCCCCAGGCAGACAGAGCTATGATCTCCAGAACTAACATAAAGATACTGAGAATTCAGAGTCCTGCACCCCAAAACCTAGAGAGCTCCCAATGAACTTTTCATGCCTCATTCAAATACAAGTGAGCAGCCCAACATCACTAAACATTTAAATAATGTCTCCATCATGAAAGAGAGGTGAAAACATAAAACAGAATTCAAAAGAAAGAGATACAATACAGGGGTTAAAAAAATTCTTAAAAATAAATACAGGCATATCTCAAAGACAATGTGGGCTGGATTCCAGACCCCCACAATAAAGTTTATATCACTATAAACCAAGTCACATCACTTTTTCACAGTGTGTATAAAAAGTTATATCTACACTATACTATAATGTATTAGATGTGCGATAGCATTATATATTTTAAAAAGTATACTTTATTAAAAAATAGTTTACTGCTAAAAAATGCTAATGGTCATCTGAGCCTTCAGCTAGTTGTTATAATTTGATGGTGGAGTCTTGCCTCGATGTTGACGACTGCTGACTAATCAAGAGTGGTGGTTCCCGAAGATTGGGTGGCTGTGGCAATTTCTTAAAATAAGACAATGATGTCAAAGACACGTTAACTGACTCCTCCGTTCGTGAAAGATTTCTCTGTAGCATGCAATGCTACTTGATATCATTTTTCCCACAGTAGAACTTTGTTTAAAACTGAAGTCAATCCTCTCAAGCCTGCCACTGCTTTATCAACTAAGTTTAAGTAATATTCTAAATCCTTGGTTGTCATTTCAATAATGTTCATAGCATCTTCACCAATAATAGATTCCATCTTGGCCACTGCCTTGCTAGACTCTGGTGTGGCCATGTGCTCTTTGAGCTATTGCTATTGATATGTTTCCTGGCTTTGGTCCACCCCCTCCCCTGCCTTGGGGAGGTGAATCTTCTCTTCTCTCTCTAATTTACTTTTAAATAAACTATATTTTCC